AGAAAAGGGTTCTTGCAATAATTACAAATAAAAACATTAAGGTTAAGACTTAACAGAAGCAATGGACGGATGCAGCCCGGTGTAATGGACTTACTGTTGTAAATCTAGTTGCATAGAAGTAGAAGTACACAAGTCTTTATCTGAAATGTCTTTGCATGAAGTGAAGTGAGAAAAGCAATGGGGCAGAGAGCTTTCGCTGTGTTTGCAGGCAAAAGTGTGTTTATATCTACGGTGCTGAGTATATATCTCTTCCCTCCCTGAGTCGTGTCACTGTGTACCATGTGTACCTTGCGTCACGATTGATGAGTTCTGCTTCACTGTGCTTACTACAGTGCACCTTGCAAATTGCAAATTGAACAGAAACTGCTGCGAGGGCCAGAATCAAACAAAACTAAAGACGCCCAAATATAAAAAGAGGGAATGATTTCCGAGCAGATAATCTATTGATGTTTATTGCGTTGACAATGAAATTGAACGATGTACAGGGCAGGCGACTCATGCACAAATAGGGGATATACTAGTCTAAACACTTCAAAAGAATAGAGAATAATAGTACTACTACTAGCCAGTAGTTTCCGTAGTAGTAGTATTTTCTGAACTTGTAATTGACTCGCCTAATTTGGCTTGACCCACCCTATAATTAATGCATAATCACGTATACTATATACTTTATTAGATATTTACATATTACTAAGTAGTTTCATTTTTTTTTATTTTGAAAGATATTATTAAACATTTACTGTTAATTTTTATTTAAAAAGTTTAGTTATCCTATTGCACATTTATTAAAGATAGTTTAGCACTTTCCAATTTTACTAACGGTTTCTCATTAATTATCAAAATTAGATATTACATATTTAGTAAAAACATTTCAATTATATGTATATATAAATATATCATTCTTTCAAACTCTATCCAATGCCGTTCTTCAGTTGCATGTCTTTGTTATCGTGAAACACAGAGATCTCTCTTAGCTGGAGATATGGTAAAAAAAATATTTTACATAATTTCTATTTTTTATTAAAAATTGATGCACGATAATACTAGTAGTTAAACCGTTAATGCATGACCAGTAATTATTAATATCAATAGAAAATACCTAATTTTATTAATATATTCTGTTTAACTTCTTGTGATAACTAGTAGGAAAGTTACTCTGTGTATTTAATCATAAATGGAAATTCTTTATTGCTATCAGAATTAGGAATAAATGACAAGGGGAAGAGATGTAAACATAATAAAGAAATGGATAAGAGGAAATTAAAAAAAAAAGGGTTATTAGATAGTATCCTAATAGTGAAGGCATTATTGCCTTTTTAGTATGCATATACAGATGGCTTTAACTATGAAGGGGGGCACTTTATAGAATTTAAGAATACAGGAGGTAATTTGTGGATGAACTGTAATTACAAGGGATAATTTGTAATTGAGCTTTATTAATTTTGTACATTATAATGTATAGTCATGGATTATATACACTACCATATATTTATACATATAATTATCTGGAGCCAGATTTTAATTGAATTGAGTCTTATAAAACACAAACTCAATCCAAAAATAATTCAAATCGCATGTAAAACGTTGAACTTAACTTCGATTATTTCATGTCGTCGAATCGACCCAACTCAGAATCGCCAATTCCCATTGACAGTCCTAAACTCAAAATCCAATAATTTTTTGATTAATAAAACACAAAAAAAAAGGAAAAAGATGAGAAATCGAAGGAGAGAAAAAAAAAAGTAAATTTTGATTTAGACAAAAGAGTATACACATCACAGTCGGATATTTTACATAACTATTGCATTTTTTTCCTACCTCTAGTTTGGGAGTTCAGATTTCAAAGGAATAGAAAAGAAAAGAAGGGAAAGGTGGACTTTCCTCCGTACGGGACAGTTAAGTGAGACGGAATAGAAAAGAAATGAAGGGAAGCCAAGTGCTGCTACAGTGCAAAATTTTTTCTGACCAAAACGGGCGGAAAGCGAAGGAAAACTGATGGAAGCTTACAAAATTTTTTCAAATTGCACATTTTATCCTCACAAAGGTATTGGATAAAATTTTATTGACATTTATATCCAAAATCATTCCATTTCTTTTCACAACTCCCAAACAACATTAAAATCTCTTTTTTTTCTTTTCTCTCGTAACTTAACCTTTCTCTTCTTTTCTTTTCCATCCTCAACTCACAAACTAGCTACAAGTTAATTAAATACACACTATTCAATGAGAAATGCTAATTGCACTACCATTGACCGTTGATCACGTGAATTCTATTTTTCATTGAATTTACCACCATCTATTTCTTTTTCCTCGAGTCAAGGATCACCAACACACAAACAGTTAGATTAAACACACACAATTACTACCATCTATTTATTATCAAGTTATTATAGGTATTGTAAAGTAAAAAGTATGAATTTTCACACGAGTAAACAAAGTCAAGTTTAACAAAATTCCCCGCAGTTACTGCATTCTTCCTTCGGAAAAGCTCCTCCACTCTGGCCCGCCATCTTTCTCCCGAAACCCCATGCGGTGCTCATCCGGACTGCAAGAGGAGAACGAGGTATTATTATTACTATTATTTATGAGCTGATGGCGCCAGTCTTGCAAGCAAAACTGAAACAGGAAACCCATCTTCCAGAGACCTGCCTAATTTCGAAAGAAAGCGACTTCAAAGTCCCTTTCAAAGAAACCCTTTCCGCCAATTTTGGAATACAAATCCAATTATCAATATATATATATATATATATATAGACGTATATATATATTTTTTTTAAAAAATTTTGCCAGAAAGTATAGCATATATCATATGCCCTGAAATCCAAAAATTTTGGACTTGTTTTCCATGTTGAACACCATTCAACGTTTAACAATTTTGGACTTCCAGAGAACTTTAAACAGTTCCTTTCCACAAGATTTGAGGTTATCATGGTCGGAAGAACGCAGGGGAGTTCAGATTCGAACTTTCAATAGATTCCGGTTGGGAGAGGAGGATACCAATTTTTTAATTGCCATACTTCTCTACCCCCCCCCCCCCCACCAAAAACAAAAAACAAAAAAAAAAATTGCATGAATATGTTTTCCGATTACTCGTGTATCTCATATACATCAAATTACCACTGTACATTCTCAACAAAAACTCCAGAAAACAGCAATCCAAACAGGCACTCGAACCAAGCAAAACTAACGAAAAAGGTAAAACAATGCAGGGCACAAAATTATACATGAACAGATTGACGGGAAATGCCATTAATCAGCATCACTGGTTGGGGCCACTGTTTGGCGTGATAATTTTCGTGAGCTCCACACGCTTGAGTAAATGTTGTTGGAGAACAAAAAACGAAATTGCAGCATCAATCAGTCAAGAAATGTCTCTTTCCTCTTCGGTGCTGACTGACTGGAAATCCGCCCAATTACTACAATATTCTCTATTGGATATTAGAACTACAGGACGATACTCTACCCCCTTCACTTTCATGGGATGATATTTTCTTTTCTTCTATAGATAAAATCAACCATGTCATCAGCTGTATGTAGGGTAGAGTCCTTAATTTGACAAAATCAATAAGCCTGCATCATTATCATCTTTCCAACTTCTTTTTGGTACCACAAACACAATTTATCATCATCCATGTTAGATATAGACTTGTTTTAACACACTCCTCCAATTATGAAGACTAGTTCTAAATAACTTCCTCATGCTATAACCCATGAAGAAGTGATTTGTGATTGGCAAAAGATCTATGAGGAATCAACCACAGGAAGCGTAAATTGTGGAACGGGGGTCCACACCACTTGCTGGCAAGATCTTGCAAAGACTCTCCACTGCAAGCGAATAGCCAGACCTAGTACAAGTTCTACCATCTCCATGCCCCCCCCAATTTGTCAGGCTCCCCCCCCCGGCGGACACACCAAAAAAAAAAAAAAAAAAAACCCCTCTTCTGCCAGTTGACCCCAATCCTGCGAACCTGTTTAATCCTGATTATGCCAGATTCTTTAGAATGCACAAGCCAAACAGACATGCAAGAAGCAGAATTCAGGTCATATCTAATTACAACATGAGAACCTGGAAGACCTGCTATCACGCCTACTGCAAAAGGGGAAAAAAAAAAAAGGGAAGAAGAAGCTGAACAAGCATTTTTACACCTGCTGCTAATCCTTGTATCCACCATATTAATAATAGACAGATCAATCAGATTGCCAACTTTAATATACATGCTAATCTTTGATGAATTAGCAAATGCAGAATCTTGAAACAGGAAAAGAAATCTTTAGATCTCCACCATAGAACAGATCATTCTAACTCAATCTGAATCTGATCATGTGTTTAGGAAATATGTTTACAATCATGAAAGAAAGAAGCCCTCGTACCATATCAATGTAGTTATACTAGCTAATTCAGAATCTCCAAAATTCAACAGTCCTAAGTTCTAGTTCGTATGGCATGACAACATTACCTCCACTAGAATCACCAAACACCAGGCATGAGCTCAGAGAAGGGTACAATCAGATCAATTTCTTTGCTATTTCGAGTTCTCATTCAAACTTGCCCCAGACGTAACCATCTCTCATTCACTCCAAACATCCTAAAAGTAAGTTCAATTCAAACAATTTACTGCATCACCTGCTTACACATAGCATGCAGAGACTCATGGTACCAGATCAAGAGTAAAGATCTACTTCAGCAGAGCTTTTATACCTGTAATTAGGAAAGTTATGAATCTCTCACATCAAATCTCGGCTAGAGAATCCAACGATGAGGCAGATTGAGCACGAATTTATCTACAACAAACTTAACCAACCATCTGGCCAGATAAAGCATACTCCAACATTGGCATCAGAGGTATAAGTTGGATATATAACTATTAAAAGATTCTAAAAGACCAGAACTTTTTCCGACTGTTGACTTCTCAGAAACAAGTATTCGGTCATTCATCACACCAACTTTCCATCACCATTTCATCAACCAACAGAGTCTGAGCTTTGTATAATCCATGACAAACAGCAAAATTGAGCGAGCATCTTTCATAAACTGATTGTACAATTAAAAGCTAAGAGACATGTAAACATGTACATAGAAACACATCCGCATAAGACACACATAATGAGCATACAATGAAAATAGCTATGTAACTGAACTTAACAAAGGAAAGGAATTTTGTATAGCGAAACTTAATCACAGAACAAAATCATCAAGGTCCCTCAGGCTGGGTTACAACTAGGGAAATCAAACCCAAAAAAAAATAATAATAATAAAGAGTTGAGACATAGTACCCAGCTCATTGGTAACTGATACACTCTGGAATATTCCACTAAACAACTCATTTATCCACCTCCATTGCTTGAGCGGCTTTAGCTTTTGCCAATGGTGTCAATTTTGTTTTCACCTTCTTTTTGCCAACTTGAAATCCACTGCCTGCCTTCTTTTTGTTGCTACCATCCACCTAACCACATAATCAACGAACGTCAATCTTCCAGGCCTCAGAAGACGCTATAATCAACAGTCACCACTGCTCACGTTAGCCCTTTAACTTCGATAATCCAGATCCTTTTTAATCCAACATGCATGATTATTTGTCAATTTACTAACTTCCTAAGCTCATTCAAACAAAGCAGTCAAACAATTGCTGGAAGCGCACAATTCTAAATGGCTAGCTGTAATGGGCTTGTGATAATCATTTGGACTTAAAGAAATAATGAATAGAAATAATCAACAATTTGAAAAACAAAGGCGGGATTATACAAAAGAAAATGATAATTACTTTCATCTTGTTTTTCTTGGCTTGGAGCTTCTTCACCTTCTTTTCTTTCTCCGCTTTTTCTCCTTTTTTCCAGAAGAATTACAATCAGAAGCTTGTAGATGAAAATAAAATTTCAGAACAAAACAATACAAAGAGACAATACTTAAATTTAATAATCGTGAAGAAAAATAGATGAAGAATCTGACTTTGGAGGTCGAATTCGTGCTGCCTTCTTCTAAGAGCTAAATTGTTCTTCTTCGACATTATTATTAATGTACTATGCAAAAACAAACAGCTAATCAATTTTATCTGGCGGTGGCGGTGACTGCTGAGAGGCCTAAACCCTAAACCCAGACACTCAATCTCGTTTCTTTCTTTGTTCGAAAGTCACTAACTGTTATTTAATATAAGTAATAATAATGAGCTTCTTGAAGAGGCTAATTACAAATACAACCCTCAAATATATTTGTAATGTTACTTGTACCCCAATGATTTGCGTCTTACCAAATTAGAAGTTAGAAAACATAAATCACCAATGCTTACATATTTTATGAATGCCTCAAATTTGCATTCATATTTTTAACCTAAAAATATATAGTATGAATTTAAACCTTCTGCTTGTACCTATAGTGTAAAACTTTTTTTAATACAAGGAAAAAAAAAGAGGAAGAAAAAAAAGAGAATTTAAATATAAATAAAAAGAATCTAAACCTAGAAAAGGAAAAAAAAAAATTTCGTTCTTTACAACAAAAAGGATTAGATAATTTTGAATCAAAGAGAAAAATAAGTATTAGATCTTACAGCTTAAGACAATTTTGATGAAGAGTGCTAATGAACTAGAAATATTATAAAAGCTATTGGGTTATTACTTATGTTTGAAGGTTAACTTTTAGGAGTTTTTGAAAGTGGTTTAACAAAAATAACGCTTTAATTTTAAAATGTGATAAAATACACAATAAAAGAATATTTGGAAATTTGTCTAATTTTTTTCCTCTAAAAAGAAATACAAAACAAACAAACAAACAAGAAGTTTCCCCTCTTGAATTAGACAGTTCTAATGAAATCGTGGAATTCCAGAACACGCTTTCGTGAAGCCCTTTTTTAAATAAAAAAAAAAAAAAAATTCTCGGCTATGGGTTTTAACTTCTTTAAAGTAGTCTTCTTCTTTTCGTCAAATCCCGGTTGTCACCCAAACCAAATAGCAGGACCTCTCCGGCGGTGCGCAACCTCATCCGTTGCCACCTCGCCCCGCCGCACCGGGAGCAACTAGCGAGAAGTGAAAAAGTGAAGATGCCGGGTTCGACAATGGACTCGGAGCTTCCAGTTGAACCACAATCTTTAAAGAAGCTAACCTTCAAGTCCGTAAAACGAGCTCTTGATCTTTTCTCCCCTCTTCACGGCCACTTCCCTCCTCCCGATCCCGAGAGGCAAGTTTCTTAACCGCCCCTAATCTGTTTATTTGTTGGTTTTCAAGTTTAGGGAAATTTTGCAAAATCTTTAATTGTTTCATATTTAACTGTATAAAGTATTGATGCTTAATTGTGTTTTTTTTTTTTCAATTTCAGCAAGAAGATTCGAGTTAGTCACAAGGTGAGTGATTTTGTATTTATTCGTTGAATTTTTGTGAGTTTCACGCTACAATGTGATGTGGGTTGGGTGAATTAGAGGAATTTTAAGGTCAAGATTGATATGTGTGGTTTGATAGTTGATTGTTTGTGACGTTTAAGCTAAATGTTGAGTACGCGGGTGTCGAAGAAATCAGTGCTCAGTCTCAGCCTAATGCCAAATCAGCTGCCCAAGATCAACCTTCTGCTCCGTCCAATGCCCTTGCTCTGCCAGGTATTGAGAATTCTTTTGTTGGAAGAGCCATCTGCAGTCCTGTTTAGCATAAGTATTAAAGTGTTAGATTTTTGCATATGCTTGGCATAGATTATTAAGTATTTAGATGCTTTTCTTATTTTTGGTGCAGCTATGGGGAAAGTTAATCTTTCAATTAGACCTGTATTGAAAGACCTTCTAGATCTTTTTTCCAGAATGTCTTGATTAGGGTTAACCTACTATTTTGGGTGCAAAAAAGGGAGTCAAGAATGGATTTTTATTTGATAGTGGTTGTTTGTCTTGCTAATGGGTGGTCCTGTTAGAAAGTAGCTCAGGTTATAATAATCATGTTCTGGACTTGTCAATATCTCATGGTCATAAATATCTCAAACCAAAACAAAACCATGCAATGCATGCAAATACTTACAAGAATCTATATTTTGTATCCAATTAAATAGATGTTCTTGAAAGTGTCTCATCTTAGGTAACAATCCAAAGAAAAAAGGATAAAAGTATACAATGACTCCCAGATTGGTTCAGATCTAGTTTGGTTTAGGCCTTGAATTTTCCTCATTAACTTATTTGACTACTTCTCTAAATGTGCGTGACTACAATAAATTAGAATACTCACTGCAACCAGAACAGCTTCTCCTTTTTGCTCTGCTTTTCTTGTGTTCCTTTCCTGGGTAGACAAAACTTCTTTCCTGCATTCTTGTTTTTGGGTTGGGGGAGGATATTTGTCCTTTAAATTTCACTGACTTGAACTTGGCTTTCTCTTGGAAGGTCCAGAAAGCATAAGAGATCAACCAAAGGGTGGAGGCCAAAATGAGCTAGTTATTGGTCCTTCTGTGCAACCAAAGGGCGGGTGTGTATACTTTCCCATGTCTGCTTGATTCTCTGATTTAAAAAATGCTAGCTCATGCTTTGCCTCTTATTTTGACTTACTTTTCAATGTTGGAGGTTCCAATATATGATAGCAAAACTTAGGCCAACATACAATCACTTCACAATCCTTTTGCTTGCAGAACTGAAGTTGCCTTCTCAGGAAAAAGTTCTGCACTTGTTGCTTCTCATGTTTCATCTGAAAGGTTTGGATCTTCTCCTATGGTTAGTAATTGTTGTAAGCACATTAAGTTTTTTTTTTTTTTTTTTTTTTAAAAATTTGGATTCACTGGTATTAGTACTAATTGCTAGGACACAAAATGCTAGGACACAGTGCCATGCTATTTAGATGAACAAATGACTTGTTTTCATTTTGGCTTATGGTTTTGGGCCTGGGGAAATATTTCAAACGTTAGTCTTGTGAATTTACAACAATTATGTGTTGCAATGTGCCTTTTTGGATTAAAAAAATATTTCTTGATGACAGAATGTCTTCCAGAATGTGTTAAAATCTACATGTTCACTTTATCTTCATCTTCCTTGAATAGGAAAGAAAAATAAAAAGAGGAAACATAATTTGTAATGAGAACAATGAAGTACACTGTTTGGAATAGCTTTTACGAGTCATTGCTGAAGCAAATCGTGCTCACTTGGTTTTGAAGGGAAGCAAAGATGTTGATTAGTCCAGCTTTTGGTTCCTTAGGATGGTGATAACATACATCACTAGGATGGGGGTAATTAAGATGACCGATATATTTGTATATTGATATATGCATTAGTGGTAGGTAACACCAATGTCGGCTGAATGCAAGACCATGGTTTATCTTATCATACTTGGCACTTTGAAACTGATGAAGATCGTGCAAATATGCATGTTGTTAAACTTATTCCCTGTCTGAATTTCCAGGAATCTTTCTACTGCTGCCATTATGGAAAGGATTCCAAGCAAGTGGCCGCGTCCTATTTGGCATTCCCCATGGAAGAATTACAGGGTAAGTTAGTTATACTCTTCTGTTTGGTGCACTGTGTGGATAGCTGTATTGGTTTTGCTGTTGATTCCTTTATGGAATAGCTAGTCTCTTTGACTCCAGCCACCATCTGTTTTCCTTGTCCTGGTTATCCTTGAATGGGCAGTATAAGTCTTGTTGACTGGCATCTGTTTAGGTGTTGTTGATAATTAATCATGTTATGAGCTTCACTTTTAAGTGGGAGATCAACATTCAAGCATCATGTCTCTCTAAGGGCCCTCTCTTGCCTTTTTCTGTCATTTTGCCTGGTTTATTTGTATTTCAGTTGTGGAGAAAGATTGTGCATAGAGTAATTTTGTTTAGTTTATGGTATGTAGCATTTCAGTTACTGGTATATGGTGCCTTGTGGTACCAGTAAAGATGGTTATAGAAGAATTTTGTTGTGACGTAATGGAGATTTGTCTACCCTTTGAGCCTTTTGTCTTTTAATCTTTCACAGACGAAAATCAACCTCGTGTTCCCAATTTAAGTTTTATTCTATCAGTTGACTGAAGGCCAGATTAGCAACAATTTTTTAAATGAATGAGATATCAACCAAGTTTCATTACCAGAGAAAACAGGATCTGCAATTTAGCTACCCATGATATATTCATATGACTTTGAACTTAGTTATCTCCTTTAACAGAACAAAGACCATTAGTGTACTTGTCTAGATGATTTGCTAATTCTACTCTGGTGCGGGCATATGATGTTTTTGTGTCTGGAGAATAGGAAGCAATCCATTTACAAAAATAAAGCATGTGGATACCTTCCCTTGCTTGGTCTGATAGTAAAGAAAACAAGGATACATATTGAGGTCTGGGGACTTGATTTTTCATTTTGTTTCTGAGATATGTCTTACAGCTTGAATTATTACTGATGCTGCAGCAAAGTGATTGTATCAACTATTGCTCTGACATGCTGAGTTTGCAGGTCATCAGTGGTCATTTGGGATGGGTACGATCCATTGCAGTTGATCCAAGTAATACTTGGTTTTGTACGGGATCTGCAGATCGGACAATCAAGGTTATGAATTCATCTTGAGAAGTTTGTCTTTTGAAGGAAATTTGTTAGTCAGTGTAAGGAAGAGAGATAAGATTTCTATAGCAAAAATTCAAGGTTGTTATCACAGGTCGCCGTTTATTTAAATAATGTTTCACAGTTCCTGGGTATCTGGGCTCTGGTAACTTAAACAACTGATGTTTGTTTAACATATGTCTTTGAAGTTTGTAGCTTTTGTACCAAACATTTCGCTGTTTCAATTTCAAGAATGTATTGAACTGCTGAATTCTTTGTGATGAACTTAATTTGTAAAATTTCCAAGCCACTCTAATTGAGGAAACAAAAGTTGTCTTAACTTTTGACAATGTTGCTTCAAGATGTTTAATATTTTAACATAACACCATTGTTCTTAAAGAAAATAATAGCAATTGAAGATATCAACTTTTTCTTTGATATTAAATATGCTTGTGCATCTATTGCTGAGGCTTGCTTCCTTTTCTTTGTTATTTTTATTTTGTAAGATATGGGATTTAGCGAGTGGAAGGCTGAAGCTCACACTAACAGGTCACATTGAACAAATAAGAGGTTTGTTTCTTAGCAGATATGTTGCTTTCTGGCAGTTACGTTCCTGCTGAAAATTATTGTTTACTAACTTGTAACATACTGTACAAAGACAGGAATTTTCGGACC